ATCCCGGAAAAAGGGAGTTGTTTTGGGTGGTAAATCTCGGTAACCAGGTTCCCGCCATTTAACCCTAAAGTGTACGTGCAAACACTGTCATCACCAATGCAGGTACCTGTAACTCCCTGACTTCATCATCATCAACATAGTGCTCAGTTTTCCCACAGGTAAAATAAATGACCAACCTTTCTTGTCAAGGACCCCTATATTTAGAAGGAGAAGACACTTGAGAGAGAGAGATGGATGGATGAGATTAAGTAGTCTGACTCACTAACTTACTGTACTGAATGCCGTGAGGCTGCTTTTTACTTGACAACATTTCAGCATCTTTTAGAATACCTTTCAGTTACTCTTAGGCTACATTTAAGTGTTTTTCTTAATGAGGGGTTTATGAAATCACTAACCCCTTTTGAGTTTTTATCTCATATTTTAAGTATTTACACTCAAACCAAAAAGGGTTCTTCAAAGGGTTCTCCTATGGGGACAGTCAAATAAAGATAGCACCATAGATAGCACAATTTTTTCTAAGAGTGTAAGATAAGCGTATATAACATACTGTATCTCTCCCAAGACCACATTATTTCAGATTCTTCTTCTTACTATGTATGTTTGATAGATACTGCACTCACAGCAAGGATAAAACGTATCTCTTTCTCTTATCCCCCCACTCTCTCCTCTCCATCTCTCCTCCCTTCCTCTCCTTTTCCCTCCCTCCTCCTCCGTCCAGGTTGTGGGGTGAACCTAGGGATGAGGGGTCTTGAGTCCTTGGTGATGTTTATCTACCGCACGGCCACGGCTGTGTACCAGAACGACGTGTTTGAGGACCTGTCCGCCAAGATCCAGCACTCCAGACAGGTGCCCGAGACCTTCAGGCAGACTGGTCTGGCACAAACCATGTTCGAGTGACAGCAGGGAGAACGCAGGGGGAAGCTGAGGGAGAGAAGTGGCTTTCACACTAAACATAAAAAAGTTGCTTTGCAATTGTTGTCCCATGGATCAGGAGCACAAAGAGGGTTCTGTGCGAGTGAAGGGAGTACCTGACCAGGAAACTCTATGGATGAATGGGGGCTCATGTTTGAGTGACAGCTGGAGGTAGTGGGAAACTGTGCTGTTGGAGACTTTGCCAATGCACTTCCTTCTCTTAAAGATTGCTAATGGCTATGGATTGGACTGACTCCCATCATAGTGCTTTCACCTGCCCTGCCGGGTCAAGTCAGTGGGGAAGAAGACAAGGTAATGAGATGAGGAAAGGAAGGAGACCAAGAAGATATCTATAATGGGACCACTGGAGCTTAGCCCTGACCGGGTACAAGCTCTATAGCCTTTGTGTACGGTGTGCTGTGAGGACCAAAGTGCACTTGTCAGTGTATTATTTCAGGGACGTCTTAGGGTAGGGGTTCTAGATTCAGACGCAGGCCAATTTTTGTCAGGGTGGATGGTCAGGGGGCCGGAAAAAAATTATAATAATTTGTACATCACAAGTTGACCACAACTAAGCCCCAAAAATAGATTGTATTTGATTAGATTGAGACACAATCACATATGTCTCTTTTTTTATTTGTGGGAATACCTGGGGAACCGATTTCCTAAATGAAAGTCTTAGCTGAATTCTCGGTGGTTTTAGTCTTTTTTTTAAACCAAAGATTAAAATCAGAAAGTTTTTCTGGCTAAAACCCTTGGTGGGCCAAAATAAATCACTTGCAGGCCGGTTTTGGCCCATGGGCCTCCTGTTGCTGACCCCTGTCTTAGGGTGTTTCTGTGGGTTGAACTGAAACTTGAATCATGTGATGGAGTTTCTTTGCTGTACCTGTATCTTTCTTTCCAGTGCAGTGGTCTGTCTTGTGAGATGTTAAGTAGGGGAGAGTAGGGTAAGTTGAGCCATTTGTTATATTTCTTACTCTTGGCACAATTTACCCTGGGGATGGGGTAAGTTGAGCCGCGGGACAGGGTAAGTTAAGCCGCTTACAAATTTCTGTACTGAATGAAATATTACCACTACCTTTTTAAAACCATGTCACTTCATTTCCCAAACACAATTCAACTCAATCACGTTTTGTCTTTTAATAATTGTAAATATATTTTAACACCTAACAAACACTTTGCACTTTTTAAAACACTTTTAGCATAGGCCAGGCCCTGTTGTTACCTCATATACCAGCAATAATGCCTTGCATTACGCCTGGGAAGAAAACACTTACATTTTCTCAACTTTGCCCAAGGCAAGCATTTTGACTATATTAGCAGGATGCACTTTCATGCTAGGTTTCGGACCTCATATTGAAGCTTATAGAGACCCCAACTGATATATAGAACAATCTTAAAAGTATCTACTTTGGTTTAGATACAAGCATCACAAAATCAATTTTTTGGACCTAACTTGCTTACCACTTTTTCCATGTGGTTTCTTCCTTTACAGACTCCATGAAATGATGACCTCTTCCTACATATTTGGTCAAATTATTCATTTTGTGTATGGTTTCCTAGAAACAAGGGTGGCTCAACTTACCCCACTCTCCATTACAGTATGTTCTAATCCTGTGTTTTTGACACCTTTGGAAGATGTTACTTATGGTATGTGCCTGGTGCATCGTAGAACTCATAAACCTTGGGCATTAACCAGAAACAAATGGTTTCTCTTGTAACAACCCCTTTACTGCTGAAGAATCGATGAGTAGCTTTGAAGATTCTAGAACTGAGAGACAAAGAACTGCCTCTGATCAGGACTTAATAATAATAATATGCCATTTAGCAGACGCTTTTATCCAAAGCGACTTACAGTCATGTGCGCATACATTTTTAAGTATGGGTGGTCCCGGGGATCGAACCCACTACCCTGGCATTACAAGCGCCATGCTCTACCAATTGAGCTACAGAGGACCACGTAGGACTTGTAGTGTTGTTGAGTGGCAGGCAGCTGGATCTATCTCAAAAGTCTAAAGTAGCTCCCTCTCCTCATCTCCACTCCTCCATCTTTACTAGTTTCAAGTTTTAATGTCACAGGCACAAGTACAGTGAAATGTAAAAAACAAGATAGGTGAAAGCAATATGTGCAGATGAAGGGAAAGCGACAAGGAGAGGAAGCCAGTTCGGGCTATTGGGATGATGCAGCCATAGTAACACAGGAAGATGTTGAGGGAGCTTATTGCGGCCTTACAGTATGTTCCAATGGGGATGAAGAGTATTGAGTAAGTAAGCAGTAGCACAGGTGGGAGAGGGTATCATGTTGAAGTGCCATAAGTAGTAGCATATTCAGTCATTACTGCACTGGACTGATAGAAATTAAGAATGTACTCTTTCTATGTATATTGTTTGTTTAATACAAAATATGGTTCTTCAAATCACAGGTTTCCATGTCTGTAGTTCATTGTTGGGTTATAGTACCATCTAGTGATACAGTATGTTAGACAGGACATTTTCTGTATCACAAGAGAAACATACAGCTTTGTACTTTGAAAGGTGAGGTATTGCTCCCCCCACCAACTGTATCTAGTAAAAATAACTACAATGAACAAAGATACGTAACATGCATTTGCCTCATACAGTGCGACACATCTCCTTCGCATAGAGTTGATCAGGCTGTTGATTGTGGCTTGTGGAGTGTCGTCTCACTCCTCTTCAATGGCTGAGTGAAGTTGCTGGATATTGGCGGGAACTGGAACACGCTGTCGTACACGTCGAGCCAGAGCATCCCAAACATGCTCCTTGGAAGAACTGGGACATTTTCAGCTTCCAGGAATTGTGTACAGATCCTTGCGACATGGGGCCGTGCATTATCATGCTGAAACATGAGGTGATGGCGGCGGATGAATGGCACGACAATGGGCCTCAGGATCTCGTCAAAGTATCTCTGTGCATTCAAATTGCCATCGGTAAAAGGCAATTGTTTTCATTTTCCGTAATTTATGTCTGCCCATAACATAACCCCACCGCCACCATGGCGCACTCTGTTCACAAAGTTGACATCAGCAAACCGCTCGCCCACACGACGCCATACAAATTAATCAGTGAAGAGAACACTTCTCCAGCATGCCAGTGGCCATTGAAGGTGAGCATTTGCCCACTGATGTCGGTTACGACACCGAACTGCAGTCAGGTCAAGACCCTGGACAACGAGCACGCAGATGAGCTTCCCTGAGACCATTTCTGACAGAAATCCTTCAGTTGTGCAAACCCACAGTTTCATCAGCTGTCCTGGTGACTGGTCTCAGACGATCCTACAGATGAAGAGGCCAGATGTGGAGGTCCTGGGCTGGCGTGATTACACATGGTCTTCAGTTGTGAGGTCGGGTTGGACATACTGCCAAATTCTCTAAAACGACGTTGGAGGCGGCTTATGGTAGAGAAATTAACATTCAACTCTCTGCCAACAGTTCTGGTGGGCATTCCTGCAGTCAGCATGCCAATTGCACGCTCCCTCAAAACCCTTCAACATCTTTGGCATTGTGTTGTGTGACAAAACTGCACATTTTAAAGTGGCCTTTTGTTGTCCCCAGCACAAGGTCCACCTGTGTAATGATCATGATGTTTAATCAGCTTCTTGATATGCCACCTGTCATGTGGATGGATTATCTTGGCAAAGGAGAAATGCTCACTAACAGGGATGTAAACTAATTTGTGCACATTTGAGAGAAATAAGCTTTTTGTGCATATGGAACATTTCTGCGATCTTTTATTTCAGCTCATTAAATATGGGACCAACACTTTACATGTTGCATTTATATTTTTGTTCAGTGTGTATGTAAGATGTTAAAACATTAACACACGCAGGGATTAGGTCAATGGTACAAATATTTTTATTGTTTAATGTGCAGAGAGAATATACTCCAATATCAGGATCATGACCATGCTTCATACAATCTACACCCAACCAAACACCACTAACACAGTAAAGAGCTTACTGCACCTAGTCATAGAAAATAAAACACTAGAAATTTAACAACCCTTTGACCCTTCATACAAAGGGTTATGAAGTTAAATTTGTACAACCAATTAACCCATCAACCAATCAATCATTTGTTTCCTCCTTTTGAGCAGGTTTTTGTGTAGTCTGAGGTCAGTGTGAGGGAGTTATGGTTATGGAGTGTTTGTCTGATGCTGGACTTGAGGATTCTCATCAGGACTTTATAGCTCTCCATCTCCCCCTGAGGGTGCTATTGAAAACAGAGAACAATAGTTAGACATTAATTTGAACAATGACTGCCACACACACTCAGGCACACACCAACAGACTCACCCAGGTGAGTGCTTGTATCAGGCGTCGTAGCACGGCCTCCTCTCTCTGAGGACACAGACTGGTCACCTGACCCACACAACCCAGCAAACAGGACATGGTGTGGCGCTGGGGCTGCTGGGACAACATGCACACACACACATACACAATAGTTGCTGATGCGTTCAACATCCTTTTATGAACGTAAGAGGAGGTTGAAGACCCTGAAGTAAGCCATGACACGGTTAAACGTGTGTCAATGGTCTGACTGGGTCTCTCACCTTCGTTAGCACACTGAGATGGTTCATGTGTTGAGATACTGAGGTCAACCTCTCTACGTCATCTGCACTCAGAACAGGCTCCTGGAGAGGGATAGAGAGTATAAAAAGCAGGAGAGTGTAAGAGAGTGAGAGTATAAAGGGAGAGAGAGTAAGAGAGTGAGAGTATAAAGGGAGAGAGAGTATAGAAAGAGTTATCGGTTGCAGTTGGAGACGTTTAACTCTGTAGTCTGCCATTTTTTTTCTTTATCTGAGCCCTCTGACCTTGAGTTTTTCCAGCCAGGTCCACAATAGAGAGCTGAGTATGTGCGGATCAGACTCTGTGACCAGTAGGGCCCAGGCACACTCACTGCTGTTCAGCTCCTCCTGTCAGTCAACACAGACAGACAGAACAGAGTGCAGTCAGGATTCCGGTTACAGGTAGCCCATGACAGATTAAGGTATACCATTCCCATATGTTGTAATCATAGTTAGGGTAAATTCCATTTCATTTAAATCAATTCAGGAGGGACCAAATCTTGATCTGCACAACAAGCGTTAATGGCTTTAGTAGCTCAGTAACTTCCAGACAGTGTACACTACACCTCAACTTGTGATAACCTGCTGTAACAGTTGATTACCTGTAGCAGTGCTGTCCTCTGTAGAACTGTCTCTCCAGGGGAGTTTAGATCTGCCATCTCCGTGGCAACTGCCCGAGCCACTGAGGCCTGTCCGGACTTACGCTGGTTTTTACGTAACTGCAGAGCACAGGAAATAGTGTACTAAGAAATGTGCTTTAAATAAAAAAAAATTGACACTTTTACTAGTATGCCCACAGTAACACAGTCTGATGCTCACCTCAATGTAAGAGTTGAATTTGTGAAATGCTGGTGCCCTCTTGGCAGTGCACTTTAAACTCTTCAAAGAACAGTTACTGTTGGTTGCCCCACTGCCTGCTGGGAGGTTGAGTCTTTGTGAGTCCTCAGGGCTGGAACAGAGGCCAGCTGTAGGGGTGGGCTGGACTGGCCTCATAGGTCTCAGGTCAGGTCTAATCTGCTCTAACCCAGACCAGTCTCTCTTACTCCTAGCTAGTACAGTACAGTATGAGCCCAACTCAAGATCCTGGAAGAAAATAAAGCAAAAAGGTTAATATCAAGGCTCTGAATGTTGCCAATACCAATGCAGATTTTTCTAACCTAATTTTCAAGAATGTACCACATGTAACCACTAATGCCCGGGATACACTACTCATTTTCACCACAAACTCGCCACGCTTTTGCCATCCTGGACAAATTGTTTTGGTCAGGGTGAAATCCTTTGAACTTGGGCTAGGATCAGTACGTCGGGACTCACATAGTTTGAGCGGGTCAAGGACGCACCGATGACGGCTATTCTGTTCTCCAGACTCCAGATTTGGTCGTGCATTTTGTAGTATGAGCAGGGCTACGACACTATTGGGCAAGGACTACTGCCAATAGCCAATGCAGCACTCAGCATGTGAGACCAAAACAATGATGGTGAAGAGGAAAGCAACAACAACACGCAACGTGTGGACTGAGATGATGGACAGGTTTATGGAGCTGTGGAGAGAACACAGCTGCCTTTTCAATATTAAATGTTTATATTACCTCCAATTCCCTGTGTAGAATAGAAAGTCCATATTGCCTACATCTGCCCAACCATTTGCGGGTCTATATTCTGCGCCTCCGTTTCTTTTTTTATGTTTCTGTACATAATAATGTGCACACTAATAAAGCAGCTTGCTGTTTGCGTGTCTGTATCTTCTTCCTACGACAACCGAGAAACGTGGGGCAGGATCAACTAGGAAATCATTGTGTAACGTGAGCACCCACGTCTTATGGTTGAGGATGGACGGAATGAAAGATTTGGGACAAGGAAATCGGAAAATTTGAACACGTCCAAGTTGTTAAGATTTTAGAAGATGTGTATGCTCAGCCTAACCCTGATGTTAACCATTACCTGTTTTACAGTGATCTTGCTGAGGTCTGAGTCGCTGTAGCTGCGTTTATCCAGCAGTACCTGTCTCTTCCTCTCCAGAAACCCTTCTGGTTCGTCCCAGGAGGACACAGACCCAGACCCTCCCCAGGACCCCCTATGGACCTCACTGAGCAGGGGCAGGTACTGCTTGGCCACCAGGGTCTCCCTCACAGCCCTGCCCAGGGCCCGCAGTTCTGCCCTTCTCTCCAGCTCAGCATGCACCTCCGGAGAGGCAGGCAGGCCCAAGGCCAGGGCTGTAAGACGGCCACAGAGCAGGTACACCACCTAAATGATGATCATTATGAAAACAGATAGCTTTTAGAAACAGATACAGGAACCCATGGGGTACTGGAAAGAGTGGTGGAGGGAGAGCAGAGTGAATGGGGAGTGATCTGTGTTGGACCCAAAGCCAGACCCTCCAGACAACCACAAGGGAGGTAGGGGAGAGCAGAGTAAGTTGAGCCATTTTTTACATTCAGCATCACTCCGCCAAGGTAAATATAATATTATTTCTAACAACGATGTCTACATATATTTCAGGATGTTGTGTATATCTGAAAAAAAATAGAATTAATGTAAACATGACAGGTTTTGAAAACATAGCTTGTTCCCCCAAAAAAAGTTAAGCCACCTACAGATTTCTACTAAATGAAATATTACCACTACCTTTTTATCTTTATATTCAACACAATCACAATCGCTTTTTGTCTTTTAATCATTTTAAGCATCTTTTAACACAGGCTTAACACCTAACAAACACTACTTTTAACATAGGCCCGGCCCTGTTGTTAACTCATATCCCAGCGATATTTCCTTGCATTATGCCTGGGAAGAAAACACTTAAATTTGCTCAACTTGCCATTGGCTCAACCATTGGCTCAACTTACCCGAAGGCAAACATTTTGACTATATTAGCCCACACAGCTACAAGGATGCAGTTTCATGCTAGGTTTAGGACGTTTATTTTGAAGCTTATAGAGACCCTAGCTGATGTACAGAACAATCTTAAAATTATATACTTTGGTTTAGATACAAGCATCATGAAACCTCTAACACAATAAATTCATTTGATTTGGTGAAAATCATTTTTTTTTACCTAACTTGCTTACCACTTTTTCCATGTGGTTTCTTCCTTCACAGACTCCATGAAATTATGACTTCTTCCTACATATTTGTCAAACGATTCATTTGGTATATGGTTTCCTAGAAACAAGGTGGCTCAACTTACCCCACTCTCCCCTACATGACTTATTACCTAATTGAATTTTTAAAAAGATAGTGTTGCCAAAATAATTAAACAAAACAGACACCTTGGGAGTGTGCCTAAGGGTGCGGGCCTCCTGGCCATGGAGGAGGAGGGCCTGACGGTGCAGGTACTGCAGCAGGGTGAAGTGGGCCCCATGGCGCAGGCTCAGGTCAGGGTACTGGGCCAGCTGACGGCCCAGAAGACGGGCAAAGTCAAACACCAGGCTGATCTGGTCCCGGGTCTGGATGGAACGGGGACGTTTGATACGCACGTAGTGGACCGCCTCACTGGGGCTCACACGCAGAGTGTAGACCAGGTAGCAGGCTATCAGGACACCTGTCAACAATGACAGGAGGTGTGCCCATTTTTGCAGGATCGTTTATGGACAATATGTTTCTGATTGCAGTCAATGTATATTTTTAAATGAACTGAACAATAAAGACAATGTATGTACTGAGAAAATTCACACACCTGTCCTCCCCAAGCCTGCGTGACAGTGCACCGCCACCTTTCCCTCTTTCACAGCGAAGGCTAACACCTTCACTACATCCATTATCCCCACGAGAGACGACACACCGAAGTCTGGCATGCCAAAGTTGAAGAAGAAGACTGCACCACAAGCACACACACACACACACAGAAGGAAAGACAAGAACACGTATTTCATTTAAAAAAGGCCACAGGGACTATCCTAAAGTAAAGTGTGTGTTGTAGATATACTGTAGGTATAAATACAGTATAATCTTACTATCATTCTCCATAAAGGTTTGTGGGGAGTAAGTGAATCCAGTGTCTGGCTCCAGAGGAGGGCCACAGTGAGCGTGCTCCCCAGGCAACTGCATGTTGATGATGGACTTGATGTTCAACCTGGTCAGAGAGAACAGGATCAGCTAGAGGAGAAAGCGAGTAGGCAGGCAGGCATGCACACATACATTACTATTTACCGTTGGAACTGCTCTATGATGCTGTATTTCTTGATGAGGTGAGAGGAGGGTCGTGCCATGGCCACAATGTCATCAGTCACCCTGTGAACAGAACAGAAGTGAATATAGAACTTCCAATCCTCACTCTCTTCACATGTAGATCTCTCCCTCCCCACCTCTGTCTTCCGTTTGTCTTTCCCTCCTTCCCTCCCTCTCCCCCTCTCCCCCCTCCTCACCAGTGTGAGAAGAGTCCCTGTACAGCTTGTTGGCTGGGCCTCCAGCAGGCTGGTCCTTCATAGCGGCAGTCCCATCCTCCGCAGGCCAGTAGGCAGATGATCTTGGGTGGGATGGCCTTCACCAGGTTCTCTCTGGCCTGGGAGTAGGCTGGCCGCGGCACCGGCACCGCGGGCATAGTGGACAGTATGTACCGTAGTGGGGGTAGTTCACAGAATCAGTTTAAACCTTAGAACTGAAGTCAGTTGTTGAACCCTATGGAGGACAAGCTAGCTCCTTGGTCCAGTGGACAATATTATATGATGAAGTGCAGGGTTATAGTGTGTAGTGTACTGTGGTGGCTGGCCTTATGCAGACACCTGAAGTCATTTGTTGACTTCCAGCGGGACAAGATAGCCTCTTGGTCCAGTGGAAGGGGAGAAACAGGTGCAGTGCAGGTACCAGGAGTAGTTCACAGACTTAGCTCAGCCTCATGCGGAGATGTAAAGTCAATATGCCCTCAAGAACAACAAGTGCAGATGGCTAGGTCTGAAGTTACTGACAGAGCTTCTGTAGGGTTACAGAATGAGCAACTGGCGAACTTCACCTACGGCACCTGTGCGAGACTGTGTGGTAACGAAGAGTCCAGTAGCTGGTACAATTGGAAGAATAAAGAAAATATAGTCAATAACTGTTGCAGATATGTCTCTCTATCACAGTATTATAAACTTTCTAGTGACTAGATTGACCACCCTCGTACCAAGACGGTTCATTGCTTAAAACCCTTTAACTGTCTCTTGTTTAAAAAAATATTTAACCTGAAACTTCCAACTTTTTTGACACTTTGATCCTTGAAAGTCCAATATCTTGAAAACTTGACTGCTAACATGCAAAATGAAAAACATTCCAAAAGATAGTTTGAGTGGAGTGCCACGATGAGTCAGAAAATGTGGTTTAACCTATTTACATTTTAGTCATTTACCAGACGCTCTTATCCAGAGCGACTTACAGTTAGTGAGTGCATACATTTTTCATACTGGCCCCGCGTGGGAAATGAACCCACAACCCTGGCGTTGCAAGCGCCATGCTCTACCAACTGAACTACACGGGGCCCTATTTATGTTGCCTAATGTAGTGTGTCAACAATTCAATCATATTTTTCACCTAAATAAATGTATCCTATTCTTAGTCCACCATACTTTTCTACTGACATCAACCGCCTGTTTGAGCACATTTTATTTTATTGTCTTTTTAGCATTTTTACATTTTAACTATTTATTTTCATATTCCTACTCTTCAAGTTCTCTACTAACAGGAATGGTGCAACATTAATCCCTCACCAACTGAAATCCTGCCTTTTATTCCATATCTTTGGTGACTGATTTTGAGTTTTCTGACAGCCATCTGAGTGGGCAAAGTTAGTGCCACAACACTGAACTGCAGCAACCCAAAAGGAGACAAATTATGTAAATTGATGCAGGAGGGCTGGGGTAGTTGACCAATCAAGTTCAAGGGAAGATATTTTGTCCCCAAAAAATAAGAATCATTGTCAAAACATGCTCTACCAGCCAGTTGAGAATAGGGTTAAAGTGTTTGTATTTGTTTTTATTATGGATCCCCATTAGTTGCTGCAAAGGCAGCAGCTACTCTTCCTGGGGTCCAGCAAAATTAAGGAAGTTATACAATTTTAAAAACATTACAATACATTCACAGATTTCACAACACACTGTGTTCCCTCAGGCCCCTACTCCACCCCTACCACATATCTACAATACAAAATCCACGTGTACGTGTGTGTATAGTGCGTATGTTATCGTGTGTGTGAATGCATGTGTCTGTGCCTATGTTAGTGTAGCTTCACAGTCCCCGCTGTTCCATAAGGTGTATTTTTATCTGTTTTTTAAATCTAGTTTTACTGCTTTCATCAGTTCCTTGATGTGGAATATAGTTCTATGTAGTCAAGGCTTTATGTAGTACTTTGCGCCTCCCATAGTCTGTTCTTGACTTGGGGACTACATGGGTCCCGTGTTGCTCAGTTGGTAGAGCATGGCGTTTTCAACACAAGGGTTGTGGGCTCGATTCCCACAGAGGGCCAGTATGAAAATGTATGCACTATTTAACTGTAAGTTGCTCTGGATAAGAGTGTCTGCTAAATGACTAAAAAAATAAAATGAAAAGACACCTCTTGTGGCATGTCTTGTGGGGTATGCATTGGTGTCCGAGCTGTGCGCCAGTAGTTCAAACAGACAGCTCGGTGCATTCAACATGTCAATACCTCTCACAAATACAAGTGGTGATGAAGTCAATCTCTCCTCCACTTTGAGCCAGGAGAGATTGACATGCATATTATTAATGTTAACTCTCTGTATACATCCAAGGGCCAGCTGTGCTGCCCTGTTCTCAGCCAATTGCAATTTTCCTAAGTCCTTTTTTGTGGCACCTGACCACACGACTGAACAGTAGTCCAGGTGCGACAAAACTAGGGCCTGTAGGACCTGCCTTGTTGATAGTGTTGTTAAGAAGGTAGAGCAGCGCTTTATTATGGACAGACTTCTCCCCATCTTAGCTACTGTTGTATCATTATTATGTTTTGACCATGACAGTTTACAATCCATGGTTACTAAATGTACTCCAAGCAGTTTAGTCACCTCAACTTGCTCAATTTCCATATTATTTATTACAAGGTTTAGTTGAGGTTTAGGGTTTAGTAAGGTGCAATTATTTAATCAATCAAATTGATAATAACAAGATATTTTAGTGAGGCACCACACCATATAAATTCACTTGCATTAAAGTGCCATTAATACGTTCCCATTATACACTGATTTCATTGACTGATAATAATAATAATAATCTCTATAGCATTGCTGATTCATACATTAATTTAAAACAATACCCTCTTCTGTATCGTGTCTTACCTTTGTGGTGACATCTCAGAGAGAGGCGAGCTCCATTTCATACACACACACACACACACACACACACTGCTGTGCGCCGGCCCAGGTTCTCTAAGCCTTATTAGCTGTCATAATAACATTAGAACAGACATTCACAAATCATAGTAATCTCTGTTATATAAGACCTATACTGTACTCCTGTCCACGCCTTGCCTACATCAACCTTATCCTTCTCAGCCATCTGGACACATTTCGATTATGTCTTTAAGTGTTGCTGTGATTGTGATATTGCAACATACAGTACGTGCACAATTGGAAAGCTGAATAAATTATTATTTCACTATTGTTGACTTGACATTAGCACAATAAAAATGATTTACTGCATCATTCAATTAAAATCTCATGATTACTCTGTTCCTAAATACAGGACAATTGAATAGGTCAATTCTATCCCAATAGAGACATACATAAAGATGAGTGTATTAATTGTATTGAGACCACATGCAATATGAGGCAGTGTCCATGAGAGGTCAGTATGAATCTTTTGTGAAAAGGGTTTTCAAAACAGCCTGAAATCCAGGGGCGCTACTTTCACTGGGAACGGGGGGACATGACCCCCTCACATTCTAAAATTGCATTTTTGTCCCCCCCAGTTTTATCATTGCACTGTGATACTAAAATCGGCTTTGGTGTCCTTTAGGACCATGCGGACGCCTCAGAGCGGTCAGGTAGGCTGTTTGGTGGTTTCAGCCGGCTGGATTTAGGACCGTGTGGACACCACAGAGCATGTCTGTGTGAAAGCAAAGCTTCTGAAAAGGCACGGTGTTATTGTCTGCAGCTGCTGTCTCTGTGTGTGTTGCGCTTTTTCTCCAAGTTGTAAAAGGAAGAAGAGCAAAAACTGGCAAATCTTTATTTGACTGATGTAGCTGGCAAGGTAACTGCTGTTTGACTTAACAGAAAAAAAGTATTTATTCCCAGTGCTGAGCTAGTTGTGTAACTGACATGTAACGTTAGCTACAACAATGTTTAATCCCCTCTCTACTGAAGTTCTGCCTGAAGAGAATGAACTAGCGAGCTTGTAGTTACCACAGCCAGTTCAGCTCTAGTGACTAGCTATCTGTCAGGTAGCTGTCTCTAATAGCTGTTGTGTGTGTGGAAATGTTTTGTAGCCTTTTTGTCCCGTTTCAACAGAAGTAAATTAACTTGGCTAGTTTTCATCAGTTGATGTAACATTAGAGCTAGCCAAAAGATGGCTAACATTAGCTAGCTAGCTCACTAACTTTAGCTATTATTTTTGCCTCAATCACACTAGACCTGAATCAAACGATGAAACCAGCAGCCAAACGATAGAAGACCAATATTCTGACGTTTTTTGATAGCGCAATGTGAGTTTTTATTAGAGTCAGTATAGCAATGTAACATTATTGATCTGTCAGTTTCCCTAGATAATTCCCTACTTTTCACACTGACATGGTATAAACAGCTCTACATGCTACACTGTCATGGTGCACAGTCAGTACACAATACTATGCTCATCATGTCTTAGCAGGATCAGATGGTGACATGTGTCCCAGCAGGGTTAGACAGCCAGGGAAGACCAGTCTATGGAGCTCAGGTGAATTTTGCAGTATATTATAACAATCAGTGAATGTTTAATATTGAGTTGATGTGTAGGCTACAGTCTGGGATCTGGGAAAAAATTGTAATTTCAATAATTGAACCATTGATTCTATTCTTAGATAATATAATGTATAAATGTACACCCTGGTAACCAGGGTCAGGCAACCAGGGAAGACCAGTCTGTGATGGCGCTGAGGTGAACTTTTGCAGATACAACACTTTATTCTCTCTGTGCAGCAAACACTGGACAAGCCAGAAGCTTCAAGGATTAAAACTATTTTAAGGCAGTCTAACAAATCTCAAGTTGATTTCCAAACTGTATCAAAGATTGAAAGGCTTTTCCTAATGACACAAAACATGTCAAACAAAAATTAGAGGAAGACCTGGGAGACACTATTGATGATGATGAATGGATACAGATATGTATGAATGTCCAGTCATGTTCATATAACCTCAGACATAAATTACTGCAGTTTAAGACCATCCATAGATATCATGCACTCAGAAATGGTGTAAAACACAAAAGGGGACATATTTGCATGTTATGATCTTGTGAAGGCTGGCTGAATTCTGTCAAAGAGTATGTTCTTTTATCTCAGAATGTCTACAGATTCTCCCTTCTACCTGTTTTTGTTTGCTTGGAAATGTTGATACTGGAGAATATTATTAGAAGAAACTGTGT